TTTTTTTTTAAAGTGGCCTACTTTACAGAAAAAATGACATCGTCATGCTAACTAAAACCAACTCCTTTTACTTAAGCATGCCTTCTCTCTTCTCTTCAAGCCTCCTACTCCAAACCAAATCTCTGAGGTAATAACTCTTCAATACTATTGTCAAAGGAGTACTTCATGTACCACTGTGTATTTGTAAGTTGACAAGTTTCACAATCCCTTCCTTTTTCCAAATAATTCAGTCCATCCAAGATCAAAGAAATAGCAAAAAATAAAAATAAAAAATAGTAACTCAGTCTACAAATAATTAGGTTGTCTGAGCAAGACCAGCATCTACACAGCAAGAGGCTAGAGACTGGTTCCATACATGCTGAGTGATCAATACAGTAAACCTAGCTGTGATAATCATAGCCTGGTTTCTGCAGAAGCGAACTACAGATGCGGAAAGAGAAACAAAACTACAAGCCCTATAGTGTTAGACTGGAATTTCAATTATTTATGGGTGTTGAAGTCATGGTATTCATGGTATTCTTGAGAGATAGAGAGACAGAGAGAGACAGAGATGGAGAAATAAACATAAACACATATTCCCTAAATCTGGCCACAAGACTCACTGGAGAATTGGCTAATTAAAGGGCTGGAGTAGGGCACTGCAAGATGAACATGGCATACCTTCATAAGCCAGAAAGTAAGGTAGAGCTCAAAGAATGAAGGGGTCATGTTAAATGAACATAGAAGCCATCCTGAAGCAGCTCCCATTGACCATACTTGGGAAAAAATGACAGTAACCGATATAACCCACTGAACAAAACAGGAATCTATTAGTTCATAAATAAATAGAAAGTTTGATGAGGAACAGTCTCAATGTAACTGCCCACAAAATAGCTAATGATAAAGGGAAAAAAGAGTCACTTCATAGTGATGAGGCCTGGCAGACACCATCTTAAGGGATCAAATTTAGTATCACTAGTAATGGGACCACATCAAATTACATGACACCCAATAGGACAGAATGAAACACAAGATCACTTCGGTTATTTTCCTGCCAAAGGTACCAAGATTAATCTACTTTATGAGGGAACACGAGACAAACCCAAATTGAGGGACAACATACAAAATAACTGTCTTGTATCTTCAAGAGCTTCAAAGTCATGAAAGCCAAGGCAAGACTGAGGAAACCACAGTATTCCAGGTTGAAGGCAACCAAAGAAACATGAAAACTAAATGCAAAGCATGACCAGGCGCAGTGGCTTGCGCCTGTAGTCCCAGCACTTTGGGAGGCCGAGGAGGCAGATCACAAGGTCAGGAGTTCAAGACCATCCTGGCCAATGTGGTGAAACCCTGTCTCTACTAAAAATACAACAATTAGCTGGGCATAGTGGCACGCGCCTGTAGTCCTAGCTACTCGGGAGGCTGAGACAGAAGAATCGCTTGAACCCAGGAGGTGGAGGTTGCAGTGAGCTGAAATCACGCCACGGCACTCCAGCCTGGGCAACAGCATTCTCAGTCTCAAAAAAAAAAAATGCAAAGCATGATTCTGCTGGATCTTTTGGGTATAAAGAACATACTAGAAACAATTAGCATTATCTGAATACAGCCTAAGGAGATAAGATGGTGGTACTATCATAGTGTTAATTTCCTGGTTTTGATGGCTGTATTGAGTTATGAAGTGTGCTTGCTTACAGGAAACATACACTGAAGAATTCAGGTGTGATGGGACATCTTAACTCTCTCTCACACGGTCCCAGAAAAATGGTTATTTATACCATCCTTGCAACTTTCTGTAAACGTAAGATTGTTTCAACTATGAAATTAAATATGTGTACATGAATATAGAATAACCCAGTCTAATAAAAAGTAAGCAATTTAAAAAATAGAGCTCAGATTATATGTCTGTATAAGAAAAGTGAACTTTGGCTTCATCAATTTACTAATTTTGGTTATCTCCATGATGACTCCATAATTCTATAGTCATAGACATTTCAGACTGATCTTTAGTGATCAATAAACTAAAATTTGGCACATTAATTTTACATATATGGACATGCCATATGCTGAATGTGAAATTATAGCATGTAATTCCTTGGTCGCTTTTTACGCTGCCCCTCACCCCACTTTGGTTTCATTTCATTCTGAGGTTGAATATGGCCACACAACAAGGTGATTCTTTGTTTGCTTATGTCATGAGACTATCATGGAATCAACTGAGTGAGAACTTGAAAAGTTTAGCTTATCCGGAGTTCATTTTTAATACCTTTAGTCTACTAACTGTTCTTCCAGCTCAACTCATAGAGTGTTTCAGTGAAGCAAAAATAAAATGAAATAAAAGTAAGCCTGTAAGTTTAATTTTAATGCCTAGATTTCTGGTTACTGGAAGGAATAAACTAGAACTAAAGAGTAGGGATTAAATATCCTAATTCTGGCTTTACAAAAATTTATTATCATGACAAGAAAGACACTATATGTGTACCAAACGAGAGAAAAAACATCAATATGGAATTCAGTAATTGCTGCTATTAGCAAAGAGCTAATAATACAACTTAGTAATGACTGCATATTTCTTTCCACAATTACTTAAATATTAAGTACCTCAAACCTAACTTTGGCACACTTTTGCTTTCTTTTCCCTTATACTGCCTCAAAAAACAGGAAGTCATAGATTGCTATCCTTAATATCATCTATTTATTCACCTGATTGTACAGCTTTACTATTATTCTAGAAGTGAAAGCTGAATGATATTAAAATTAACAGGCAACCAAGATGTTATCAAACTAAATAGAAGTCCAGAATTAAATTCAACAAATGTTTTGTGTGCCTACTACCTGCTGGACTCATTCTCTACCATTAGTGAATTTAGTCTAATAAAAGAGAATTAAGAACATTAGAAAGAAAAATAAAAGAAACACCTCCCACAATAACATCACCAAGAGATCAGAAACTGAAACTGTGAAAAATAGCTTCACAACTTTTTCATGTATATGCATGTCCATATATCCTTTTTTTTTTTTTTTTTTAAGAGACAGGGTCTTGCTCTGTTACCCAGACTAGAGTGCAGTGGCATGACCATAGCTCACTGCAACCTTGAACTCCTGGGTTCATGAGATCCTCCCACCTCCCAAGTAGTCAGGACTACAGGCATGCACCACCATGCCTAATTTGTTTATTTTTGTAGAGACAGGGTCTTGCAATATTGCCCAGGCTGGTCTCAAACTCATGGCCTCAAGTGATCCTCCCTCCTTAGCCTCCCAAAGTACTGGGATTATAGGCATGAGCCACTGCTCCTAGCTCAGATTTTTTTTTTAAATAGAAATATTCAATTATACTGCTTTATAATCCTTTATGACTACTTCTACCACTCCATTTCAATTAGTATATTAATACTTAAAAATCACAATTTTGTTTTGTTTTAGAAATAGGGTCTCACACTTTGTCACCCAGGTTGGGAGTGCAGTGTTGCAATCACAGCTCACTGCAGCCTCCAACTACAAGTTCCTAGGCTCAAGGGATCCTTCAGCCTCAGTCACCCAGCCAGCTGGAACTATAGGCATGCACTGCTACACCCGGCTAATTTTTTTTTTTAAATAAAAAATCACCTTTTTGTTTTTGTGTTTTTTTGAGACAGGGTCTCGCTCTGTCACCCAAGCTGGAGTGCAGTAGCGCAATCTTGGCTCACCGCAACCTCTGCCTTCCAGGTTCAAGCAATTCTCCCACCTTAGTCTCCCGAGTAGCTGGGACTACAGGGGCACGCCACTACACCGGCTAATTTTTGTAATTTTAGTAGAGAGAGGGTTTTGCCATGTTGGCCAGGCTGGTCTCGAACTCCTGACCTCAAGTAATCCTCCTGCCTCAGTCTCCCAAAGAGCTGGGATTACAGATGTGAGCCAACACGCATGGCCAAAAATGGCCATTTTTTAATAAGCTGCATAGTATTAATTGCAAAGATATGCCAAAATTTGCCTAACGATGCCGTGTTGCCAAATGCTCATGGTTACTTAATTTGGAGGCATGATGGGGAGGGTTGTCAGAAAAAAATGACAGCTAAAATTATTAACTGCTGTAAACTTAGCCCAGATGCTTTATAAAACCAGCTAGGAGTTTCTCTCTAAACACACACACACACACAACTTCTAGAAAAAAAGGCTTAATGCCATGACATCCTTATCATCTCTGGTCTCTTCCTCTGCCTCCTACTGTTCGGGCCTTAATATTACTTTTATCCTAAAGTATTTGTAATAACTTTTCCTGACTTCAATCTCTGTCCATTCCAAATCCTACATATCTCTACATCAAACTTCCTGAAGGAAAACATAACCTCCCTGCTTGAAGACTACCTAATCCCAATTATTTGAGAGTAAATACTGCTAACTTATTATTTAATACTTTGGGCATTCAGTTTGAATGATACAATCACTAAACCACCTTCCAATGTTTTTATCCGCCACTTTCTTTCAAACATTCTCCAGTAAAATCCTAATATAGTAACCAGTTATTTGAATAACCTCCAACTTTCTACTCTATTATGTATGCTGTTCTCTCTTCAGAAATGCACGTCGAAGTACCACTATTTATAGATACAGAATCACAGATCTGAAAGGGAACTTAGAGATATCCTAGTGTACGCACCTTGATTTGCAAATTAAAAACTACTATCATTTGCCCAAGAGCCCACAAAACTTCCATCTAGCATTCTTTCCATTACACAATGTTTCTCAAATTCTTGTGTGCCCAACAATCAAGTCAACAGTTCTTAAAAACAAAGATTCCAGAGCCCCATCCTCAAAAATTTTGTTCTTATAATTTAGGTTAGGAAATTAGGACCAGAGCTCACATTTTTTCAAACAAGTCCTTCAGGTGATGCTAAAGCAAGGGGGTGGGGGAGGGAGCGGTGTCAAAGCTTTGTATCACAGGAAATAACACATCAAGAATATGAAGCCTAATAGCAATTAGTATATCATCTGAAATTTCCCGTTTCTTCCCCTTATGCTAAAACTTCCAAAAAACAGTTACTCACTGCTACTTGTGCTGAATCCATAAATCTCAGACCAAAATAGTCGCTTTCAATAAGGTCCAGGTGGTACATAATCTGATCAAACAGCTCTTGTCCTTTGGCTTTTTTCTGAAATGGCAAGAAAATAGGTAAATCAATAAGTGGCTTATAAGATCAACAAGGCTGAACAAAAGAAGGTTTTAGTTACACAAGAGCTCTTGAAGAAAGGAGAACTTGCAATACCAAAAGTATTGACATGTGGCAGATAATGGATAAGACATTATAGTTTTCTAATAGATCACTTAAGGCCAAAAACAAATTTGTGATCTATATGTTTTCCTAGAGGGTGTTACTTCCAATCAACCGACAAAAATTATCTATTTTGAGGTACAAATATTTGTGTGTAAGGATAAATTCTTGTGTTGTCATCAATTTTTAGAATCCCTACTTTAAAAGGGTCATAATGTCATTGGAAAAAGAAAACACAAAAAACTTGAGTACTTTAGTACAAAATATGTGAAACTACACACTTGCAAACAGATTTTAGAGAAGAGACAGAAACTAGAATAATCAATGAAGGCTTGATGGAGAAGAATCAGTCAAACTGGAAGAGAATGTAAGGTAAGAAATAATAAAACTGGGAGGTAGGAGGGAATATGAGATCATAAGAAAACTACTGTGATGACGCAGAAGACACCAAATAGTAGGGTAATAAATAGCAAAGAAACTTTATATGGAAAAAGCAGTTCTCAAAGTGTGGTCTCAAGATCACCGAGGGTTTCCAAGACCCTTTCAAAAGATTCATGAGGTCCTAGGTTTCTCATATACCTGAAAAAAACATCACATTGCAACACACCGAACGTTGAAGCAGGTAAGAGAATCCAAGTACCTTCTATTAAACCAGACGTTAAATAGATTTGCAAAAGTGCTTAAAACAATGCCACTCTTCTAAGCTCTTTGTTGTTTTGGGAAATAGTTATTTTTATAATATGTTTTATATTATGTTAACATAAAAGGGGTATGTTGTTCCTATATTAATAGACATTAATCAATTACTGATTAATCAGCTAATCAATATTTAAAATGTTTTCAGTTTTAATTTCTAATACTGTGACTATTGGTAGATATAATCCACATAAGCAAAAGTATTGTTGGGATCCTCAATTTTCATAATTGCTCATCCATGCCTCTCCCATATGTAGAACTCTAAATTGTGATTTACAGTATTTCCTATTAAAAATGAACATATACTTGGTTTATCATATCAATCTCTGCCTTTTAACAAATTTATTATTTCAACTTGTCCTTTGCTTTTTCTTTTAGATAAGTAAATCTGTCATCTATGCTTCCCTTTATCAAGACAAAAATTTGACCATACCCTCATGTCCTCTCATCTCCCCTCCACCCAATTCCCATCAAGTTTTATGGACATACTTTTGTGTTTTTTTTTATTTATTCTTAGCTAACTTTTTAAAGACAACAACTTCTACTAGGATATTTCAAAAATGTACATGTCTTACATGTGTACATTACAAGTCTTGTAGCATCTGCTAGATTTGCAAATACTCATTTGAGTTCTTTCTCCAAAAATGTTTCTAAAAATGTTCCCATATTTGAGAATATTTTAATCATGCCCTCACTCGAATGACAGTGGATGGGTAGAAACATCAAGGTTCATAGTTTCTTTCAATACTTTCTCCAATACTTAAAAAAAATATTATTCCATTATCTTCTTGCAGTCAACACTGCTATTGGTAAGTATGATGTCAATCTCAATTTTGTTCCTTCATAATGTTACTTGTTCACTTTTAGACTCTTCAATGTCACTGTACTGTGTACAAGTGTGAGTTTTTCTTAATTATACTGTATTCTATATGAACCCCTTCAACCTGAGATCTTTCATCTTTCTTTAATTCTAGACATCAACCTCTATTGTTTTCTCAAATATTTCTTCTTTATCGTTTTAAGCTTCCTACCTCAGTGCTGGCATCTTTTTTTTTTTTTTTTTTAGTATACATTACTTATCCATTTAACTATATATTTACATAACACATAACACAGACAAAAGTTCAGAAAGCTTTAGTAATATAACAAAATTACATTTAAAACAATGACAAAGCTAGAATTTGAATTTTGCTCTATCTTCCAAGTTCAAATTCACTGAGGAATACATACCTCATCTAGATTTCACCTGGAATGTCACCTGAGATCAGTAAGTCAGACACCCCACTTCTTAAACAACTTCTTCTAGCTTATTCACAAAATTACTTTTCTTTTTTTGAGACGGAGTTTCCCTCTTGTTGCCTAGGCTGGAGTGCAATGGCGTGATCTCGGCTCACTGCAACCTCCGCTTCCCGGGTTCAAGCGATTCTCCTGCCTCAGCCTCCCGAGTAGCTGGGATTACAAGCATGTGCCACCACGCCCGGCTAATTTTGTATTTTTAGTAGAGATGGGATTTCTCCATGTTGGTCAGGCTGGTCTCGAACTCCTGACCTCAGGTCATCCGCCCAACTCGGCCTCCCAAAGTGCTGGGATTACAGGTATAAGCCACTGCGCCTGGCCACAAAATGACTTTCAATGCCTAAGTTCTCCAGCCACACGAGGAATTTCCAGTACACTGACCCAACTTCACAGACATCAGCCTCACTTCTACTTTTTTTAAAGTATAACACAATTTGCCATTTTAACTACTTTTAAGTATAAAATTCAGTGCCATTAAAAATATTCACCATGTTGTACAGCTGTCACCACTATCCATTTCCAGAACTTGTCACTATCCCAATCAGAAACACTATATCCATTAAAAAAACCATTCCCCACTTGCCCTCACCATTACCCCTAGTAACCTCTCTCCCATTAATACTTTCAATTGCTACGAATTTGCCTATCCCATGTATCTCACATAAGCAGAATCATAACAGTATTTGTCCTCTTGTTTATGGCTTATTTCACTCACCCTCTCTCCTACTTTCTGTCTCTATGAATCTACCTATTCCATGTAT